TCCATCCTTCCTTTTTTTCTTTCTTTCCCTCTTTCTTGCAGGGTTTTCAAGAGGGCTTCTCTGTGTAGTCCTGGTGGTCCTGAAACTCACTTGATAGACTGGGATGCCCTCAAACTCACAGAGATCCGCCTGCCTCTACCTCCTGTGTGCTGGGATTAAAGGTGTGCACCACCAGTGCCAGGCCTTGATTCATATTTTCTATGAAATACCTAGACTTTAGTCTTTTTCTATTAATGGTTTATGCTTTTAATGGGTATTTTAGACTTCTTCATTCTAATTGATATATTAGGATTCTTGATATATTGTTTATTCTAAATTTTTTGCTAATTACATGTGCAACAAATACCTTATTTCTTTGCCACTTCTGTTTTCTGCTTTCATATTGCAATATATGTTCTTATGATAGTAAAGTGATTCCCTATTTGAGGAGATTCTGTCTTAACTGCTTAAAAATTATCATTGTGTGTGTGTTTTACCTGCATGTATGTCTGTGAACTCTTTGCATGCCTGCTGTCCTCAGAGGCCAGAAGAGAGTGGAGAATTCTCTGGAACTGGAGTTTCAGACAGTTGTACACAACTGTGTGTATGCTGGGAACCAAACCCAGGTCCTCTGCAAGAGCAGCCAGGGCGCTAAATGCAGAATTGTCTCGCTTGGCCCTTAACTGTTACTGAATTTGTACTTGTTTTGATCACTAATAAGGCTGGGGATTATACTTCACTTCTATTGGCCATTTACATTTACTTTTATAATATTTTCAAAAAATTTAACATTCGTCTCCACATTACTGACCACAGTCTTATGTCATATTTGCTGGAAATATTTTCTAGTTTATTAGTTTTAAGAGTTTACTTAAGTTTCTCCAAAGTTTGTGTTCAAACATATTTCAACCTCCCATTCTTTTTTTTTTTTTTTTTGGTTTTTCGAGACAGGGTTTCTCTGTATTGTTTTGGAGGCTGTCCTGGAACTCACTCTGTAGACCAGCCTGGCCTCGAACTCACAGAGATCCGCCTGCCTCTGCCTCCCGAGTGCTGGGATTAAAGGCGTGCGCCACCAACGCCCGGCTCAATCTCCCATTCTTTTATTTTGATTTTTATAAAGCATTAGCAGGTTGACCCATGTGGAGTTGATACTATTGTAGAAGAGATGACATTTATCAACCGCTTCTTGTGTGGCACTGATTTATGATGATTATGCACCAAGGTGCTGTTTATCTTGGTGTCTCTGACCTTTGATCTTTGCCACACTAAATATAATTAGTTTGACAATGCTTGCCCTCACTCATATTCTATGATTATCTTCAGAGCTTCTATTCAGTAAGACAATCTCTCCCCCACCCCCATTTTGTTGAACTTCCAAACGTTCCATTTGGCTTCTAGAGTGCTGTGTAATACAAACAACACGGAGCTTCCTGATTCTCAATGCTGAAAAGCAGGACCGCTTATGATCACATTTCTTCATGGTCAGGAGGAGTAGCTACCAGATCAGAGCGTGAATGGTAACTGAGTGAATACCTGTGTGGAGCGAGAGTGCGGTGTTTGGTGTGAGGGTCTCTCCTCCCTCCTTTCAGTCAGGGTCTTGCCACAGTGCCCAGACTGGGCTTCAAGCAATCCTTCCCCTCAGCCAACTATATACCGGACTCCAGTCATGGGCTCCAAAGTCAGATGAGTGGTCATAGGCGCCTCAGAGGGCATCTCTCTCTCTCTCTCTCTACCCCCCTCCCCCCCGCCAACGTGTTCTAACCCACAAAACATGCTGAAGCAATCATCCACCTGTTGGGTGAACGCTAAGAGACACCAGATTTCAGTCACGAGGTCATTACTCCTGTACCGGGGGTTTTCCGTCCAAGAGTGCTGAGTCTCGGTCCTGCTAGCCTTGGCTGCTGGTGAATCCAGAAAGCTGAGGTCCAGCTCGGAAGGGAAGGAGAGGCTGGACAACTTGGGGCTGGCGATTTCAAACTAATGGAGATGGAAGGCAGGTTTGGGGTGGTGTGTGTTGGGAAAGGCTGCATTGGAGTTCTGGTTGGGGCTGACACTGTCATGTCCCAGCCTCTCCATTGCAAACATCCATGTAGCTGAAGTTTGCCATAAGGAGAGCTGGGTCCCCCCCCCCCAGAGTAAGAAACTCTAGTCTTAATGGGTGTACTAGTTGTCTTTTGTCAGCTTAACCCACACCTAGACATATCTGAGAAGAGGGAATCTTTACCTGAGAAAACGCCTCCATCAGATTGGCCTGCAAGCAATCTGTGGGACATACATTTTCTTAATTAGTGATTGATGTGGGAGGACCCAGCCCATTGTGGGTGGTGGCACCCCTGGGCAGGTGGTCCTGGCTGTCATAAGAACACAGGTTAAACAAGCCATGACAATTCTCTATTGCCTCTGCTTCAGTTCCTGCCTTGATTTCCTTCAGTGATTTCCTTGATCCAGTGTCTCCCCTGATTTCCTTCAGTGTGATGTGGACCTCTATGGACTGTGATATAAACTGTAAACTTAAGTAGACCCTCCCTCTCCTCAAGCTGTAGTGTTTTAGATGTAGTGCTTTATCACAGCAATAGAAACCCTAAACTAAGACAAAGGAAAAAACTGGAATGCTGAGACCATCTGAGTAAGTGTTAGTGTGAATTTCCTAGAAGACCAGGGCTCTTGCCACCAGTGGGCACACCTTACTCCAACCCCAGCACTCAGTAGCCAGAGGCAGGCAGATTCTCTGGACTGCCTGGACTCAAAACACTGGCTCAAAAAGGGTGGCATGGGACAGAGGAAATTCTACTAGTTCCAGCAATGCTCAGGGGTCCTCTTCCTGAGTCTCAAGTGGTGTCCCAGATCCTGAGAATCTGGAACACTTGGACAGAAATTTATCCTGATCAACTCTGACTGGGGAAGTTAGTGAAATACACAATTCTGTACAATACTGGACTTACCTGAGACACCCACTCACTCCTCTTAGACATCAGTCCTCCCTAAAAAACATGGGGAGGCATAGAGCTATCTTGGAACATGCCAGAAATGCAATCTTAGAAATAAAATGCTGCTTGATAATACAACTGTTAAAATAACACTAAACAGATTCAGGAAAGGAAAAAAAGTCATTTCCTGAGTCCCTCGAAGACACTTATAATCAAATATGAAACCATTTAGGGGAAAGGCACACTAAATCTGGATCCCAAACACAGTGCTCTGACAGTAGCAGTCCCTGAAACGACACACCAGGAAGCCACCCAAAGTCTCAGCATTGTCACATGGTGATGCAGGAGCCTGCTGGCTTTCTCTGCACAACCCCAAACACCCTGAAATGAAGACAACTTGCATATTTGTCAACAAATTAATTATTCATATCACAGTAAATTAGTAGCAGCCAATAGAGCAAAAAGATAGTTATAGGTTGCCATCTGATTTCCTGAGTTGTGTGTATGTATATAGACACCTATGTAATATATAAAATTATATATATATTATCATTTTGAGTTCCATGATTTAAACATTTTGTGTGTGTAAGCATGTGTGCACATGTGCAGGCATGCATGTCATGGTGCATTTTGGTGGAGGTCAGAGGACAATCCGTCGGAGTTGGTTTTGTTCTTCTACTGTGTGGGTTCCAGGGATTGAACTCGAGGCGTCGGTCTCAGTGGCGGGTGCTTTTGCCCCGAGTCATCCTGTCGGTTCTTGAGTTCTGTAGTTAGGGACAGCACTGTGTTAGAGGGAGTTTTGAATTGTCCCCTTTTAAAAACTGGGCATTTCAGAGGAGAGCAGACGGGAGCCACTTAGAGTCTGTTGAGTTCTTTAGACAGAACCGTGTTCAGCTTGCTGGTGTTCTCATGCACAATCCTTAGCATTTTTCATTGAGTTTTGAGCCTTTCAAGCCATTCTAGCTTCTAACTCCTACTGCAGATAATACCCAAGAAGGGGGAAGGAGACCTTGTGGTCTAGATTGGGGTTAAAAATTTAGCCCTTAGAACCTAAAGAAAGTAAATGGAAAGAAAGCTAATCCAATATGGCAGAGATAAAATGTTTCATTTTAATAAAGATAGCCTTCCTCAGTTTCACAAAGTAACACTTGTTGATTCTGAAATGCATTCTGGTTGCAGGGCTTTCATTGTGACAATTGTATTTTTTTTAAGATTTTATTTTTAACTGTGTGTGCCCCTGTGTGGGTTAACATGCGTAAGGGTGCAGGAGCTTGCAGAGGCCAGAAGAGGGCACTGGATCACCTAGAACTGGAGCTACAGACAGCTGCGAGCTGCCTGACGGGGTGCTGGGAACCCAACTTGGCTGCTCTGCAAGAGCAGTACCGCTCTTTAACTGCAGAGCCATCTCTCCAGCCCCAGCAATTGTACTGTTACTCTGGTAACTATGGACACTCTTCTACTAAAGTAGAAGCACTTACGTTTTCATGGTAACTGCAGCAACAGCTAATCTCCCACCAAACACTACAAAAAGCAGAGCCCCATGCTAGCAGCCACAGCAAGTAGAAGCATTTGAAAGTTGCAAGGGATTTGCTTGCTGTTACAACTCCCTACAAACCTGAGACTAAGTACAAGCAACATACACAAGAGCTTCAGCAGGAGAGGGAGTGCCAAGATTGGCTTGCAGCATATTCTCTGGCCTCCTCTCAGTAACTGAGGAAAAGACCCTTAGTCAGGCCAGCTGTGTCCAGTGGGTGGGGAACGCTGAGGGGGGTGCAAATGGTAGTACACACTGACTTCAAGGGGCTAGTGCTGTTTCACTGATCACACCTGTTTGCTTCTGGAAGCTTCTGTAGGCACCTGAATGATCTTTCCTGGCCACTGTGTGTCTTATTTCAAGGATTTAAAACCTTCCCTGTCGAGGCAACAGCAACCCCTGCAACCGGCTAGCAGCCCTGACTTTTCATAGATGAGCTCGGATGCACATTTCTGCCATCATCTGAAATGGAGCCCCGAGCCAAGTGCCATAAGGCTCTCTGCTTCCCAAGGAGAATTATCCCGCCCCCCAACCCCGGAAATAATAAAAGCAATACCAAGTGGATTTGAGTATTTTATTTATAAATGTACATTTACTATAAAAGCTGTTGCATTTTAGACAACTTTTCATTTTAATCTTTTAAACTATTTCTCAGAGGCATTATAGAATAAATATTGTAAATGACAGTTAGTGTAATTGACACAGAATGTCGCCTGCCCAGATCAGGAACATCTCTTGGATGAACTCACATTGAAAGTTGGAGCATTTCAGCTCGCTGAATCTTACACCATTTTCAGGTAACTAGAATATGTATGGGTGTTAATGACACTACACAGAAGGACAGATGTCATGGAAGTTTGCTAGTGAGAAACAGAGACACCCATTTTTGTCCTTGGGAAGGAAGCATTTGGAGTCTGAGGGGGAGAATCAGCTGCAATCCCCCAGGAACAATAAATCACTCACTTGCCTTGTCTTGTTTTTAAACAAACACATTTACATTATAGCTCCACACAACAGAGTGGTTTTTTTTTTCCTGGGATCTCAAAGATTATTTGAAGAGAAATAGATCATAGTCTTTTATGCTGCACTGGAAAACAAGATCTAGTCTGCCGAAGCTGCCATGTAGCGGGCTCTAAATGAAATATAAATCAAATAGAAATAGAAACAGTTGGCAATTAGAATTTAGAAAATGTTGGAGATTATTCCAGGCTGGTGACTAGTGTTCATTACAGGAACGCACGCCCCACACTTGGGAATGGGGCTTATTCCTCTTGCCTCTAGTCTCGTTTCACTACATGTACAATGAGTCTCTCTAAGAAATATGTATAAATGGCTTTGTGAAACCAGAAGAATGTGCAATACTCACACGCTCCTGACATAATGGATGGCCTCGCACATGTAAAAAGTATTCTATAAAAGTCGCTTATGAATGACCATATTGTACATGTTTTGTGCATCGTCTCTTGTATTCTGTTAATATCATGCAAAGTGTAAACATCCACATTATTAAAATAGTTAATAAAACATGCAGGTGCTTCATCAAAATATTGGACTTGATCTGTACATTTTCAAAACTTTTTTTAAAATTTTTTTCCTTTTTATTTGTCTTTTAAAATCTTTTATTTATTTTCTTGTAGAGCAGCAAACACCTCTGAGAGAAATCATGAGAACTGGGAAGAGATTCATTTCCCTTCGGTGTTCTGAGTCTGCCATTCATCACTATGTGCAACAGCTTTGCATTTTCTAAGGCACAATTTTTAATGAAATGATGTGTGAATTTCAATCCAATAACAGCTCGTCCAAATGACAGAGTGGTCAATATGCCTCCAGTGGCCAGGAGATGCCTGCACCTATAAAGAACCCACATGCAAAGAACTGTCTAGCATGGAAATAAATAATTGCTAGCCATACTCCGTAAGACACAGAAAAAAATTATTGCTTACATAACAGAAAAATATCTACTTGCTCTCTCTCTATGCTACATTAGCCTACTAGGAGTGTATCCATTGTCTACATTCACCTAACGTCATCTTTACTTAGTTGCCATCCTTTTAAGGCAGAATAAATAGTCCCCCTCTCCCCAGTCTTAAGGGAAACCGCCTGGAGAGCTGAGTCATGCTGGTTTAGCGGTTCGTTCCTGTTGTGTCCAGCTGAAACTCATCACAGGGGGCAGAGACTAAGCCAGATCTCCGCAGGCATTCCTTTCTGAGCTCCGCAGGGTCAGGTCCAGAGTTCTTGAGAGTCAAGAAGGCCATGTGGGGAGAGGGTGGAGGTGCACACAGGTCCCTGGGGTGGGCAGGGCATGGTCGGCTCTGTGTTGCTGCCACTTACAGACTGTGCCCTCCGGGCTCTGTTAGGATGGACTTTAATGCTTCTCTTTGGATACCCGGGCTTCAGCCTCCCAAGGGAAACTTGCAGGCCAAGATGAGATGTGCTCATCCCTCAAAACAGACTGCCCATGACGTCTAATGCCTACATCCTCACATCAAGCCCCTCAACGCAGCGCTTGGGGAAACTGGTGGCCCAAGCTTCAAGGCACACCATCCGGGTAGACGACACTTTCCCACAGATTTTATAGTAAGTCTGAAGACAATGGCTAGTCTGTTTCCTTCCTGCTTCTTCCTACCCTTGCACAATGTCACAGACTGGAAGTCTAGCGATATCGCAAGGGCTCTCTTCATTTGATGGCCCAGCCTATATTAATGTCATGACTTCCAGGGTACACAAAATCTAATACTAATAGTGTGATAATTTATTGGTAGGATCTGCCTCCCCAAAGGTAAGTAACACAAATGTTGCAGGAGTACAGTATGTATTATCAGACTAGCATCTTTGCATTTAAACAACAAGTTAGAGCTCAGAGGCAGGGCTCTCTGGGGTGTCTAGCTTTTTTGAAATGCATTCAGCTTATGCTCCTGTCTTAAGTTGGCTTGTCTTACACTTCCTGCAGCTCAATTCTGTAAACATAACATGTTTAATTTCTAGAAATACTAAAACACAACAGGCTTATTGCACCCTTTTGCTATTTCCCAAAGAATTTGAATAACACCTTTTCAAACATAAGCCCCTCTGCCCATGCTAAAACTGTTTTTTTGTTGTTGTTGTTAACTGTTCAGGATCATTACAATGCAATATTCTTTTGTATATACTGTGCAAATGCAGAAAAAAATCAGCCCCCAACCAGAAAAAGCACAAACATTGTGCTACAATACAAAAGAGCAGATACCACCTTGTAGAAGAGTCTTCCAGAAACTAGATGAATGCTGGGAAGCCCCTGAACTTGGGGTTTAATTAAGCAATTGCCAAGGGACACCCTTCATAAAGAAATGCTCAGTGGTCCAGAAACTCCCAACCACATCACAGTGTTGTAGGTTGGCCAGCACCTGTGGTAAGAAAAACAGAAACTTGGGTTAGCTAATGTGTCTCATCCGTCATGTTTCAAAACTCTCAAGTTAGCAGTTCCCCTTGCCAATGTCTCTTCCCACAGGAAGGGAGTTGTAGCCTACCTTGATGCTCTCTTCCCACAGGAAGGGAGTCGTGACCTACATCCCATGGCCAGCATCACCTCTGGGCATGGGTTGTAGCATCACGTGGGCTTTGTTAGAACACAGAGCTGTGAGCCCTGCAGACCCACACAGCCAGGTGTGCAGTGGTCTCTATGCTTCAAGCCCAATGTAAGGACTCTGATCTCCCCTAAACCAAATGACCTCCCATGAAGCTTTCTAATTTGTCCTTTGGGACACATACGCAAGAAATTTGTTTTCTCTTGAGTTCTTAGGTCAAACAATCAGTTCGCTGAAACTGGAGGAATCTAAATGATCTGAAAAACCAGATAGCTAGATTTAGCAGGCAAAATACAGAACACCTAGTGAATTTGACTTCCAGCTAGATACATATTTTAAACATATAAGTATATCCCATGTAATAGTTAGGACACACTTGTGCTAAGTCTGGAGCATGCAATGTTTGGAACATAGATATAAAAGATTATATACCTGAAATGCACATGTGAAAACTATTGTTTAGCTGGGTGTGCTGGTGCATGCCTGGACTCTCAGCACACGGGAGGTGGAAACAGGAAAATCAGAGTCCAAGTCTGGCCTTGGCTGCATAGTGACTTTGAGGTCAATCAGTGCTCTGGTGTGAATCTGACTATCTCACACTGAGGCATTCCCACAATCACAACCACCATACAGAACGGGCACAGGGGAGGACTCTGAGTACTGGAAAGGCAGAGACTGGTAGATTCCTGGGGCTCGCTGGCCAGGCAGCCTAGCCAACTCCAGTTTCAGGCACACAGACACACAGACACACAGAGGACAGCGTCTAAAGAATGACAACTTAGGTCACCACCCCTGGCTTCCCACATGCATTTGAATTTGCAAACACACATACCAAAAACAAACAAACAAACAAACAACCCCCAAACAACAACAACAACAAAAATTCATGGCTTTACGTGAAATTCAAATTTCAAACACTTATTGAGTGCCTTGTATTATCTCCCCAATCTAGGAAGGGTTAAATTCGAGTTTTTGGCGAAGCTTCCGCAAGGTTTCTTTTCCAGGTTAGGCACTACAGTCATGATGGGGCGAACACACTGGAAAAGGCCCGGGGGAATCTGTGCTAAGTGCATTTATTTCACCAGAGTGAATGACGGAGCAGAACGCCACACACACAGAGGCGGCCACCCAGCACAAACGGCACGAGTTAAACATGCGATGACTCATGACGGGTAATTCGCTCTGCACTTCCATTCCCATTTACATATGAACTTAAAAACTCCTCACGTGGCTTTTAGGAACTGCATTTGAATATGCTTTATGCCATTTTTTCCTCCAACAGAAAAAAAAAAAGCTCATTTAAATGTGACTATAGTTGCTTGAAGAAAACAGGATTAAATATTCAGGTTTTATTATTCCACAGAATGAAGTGATTTCTTGCTTCTTTGGAATGCCTCTGATGTAAACCACACTTTCCATCATCAATCCATTTACCTTCTTCTCAATTCAAAGCAGTATTTTAAAAAAGAAGAAAAACCACTGTCACCCATCTTTCCCCATACCACTTAGATCTGAGGACAGAGTCACCCTGTCAAGTAGATTTATAGTTCTTCAGCTAAATGATTCCTACCCTATCATGCCATTCCCCAGTACGTTTAAGGAGAGAGAGAGAGAGAGAGAGAGAGAGAGAGAGAGAGAGAGAGAGAGAGAGAGAGAGAGGTACTCTTATATACTCTGGTCATTCCCCTTATCACGTCTTCACTTAATTAAAATTAACCCACAATGATTCAAACATTTGTCTGAAAAACACAATCATGGGAGAGAATAAAATTTTGGGTAGAAAAAAGAAAGAAGGGCTGGAGAGATGGCTCAGGGGTTAAGAGCACTGACTGCTCTTCCAGGGGTCCTGAGTTCAATTCCCAGCAACCACATGGTGGCTCACAACCATCTACAATTCAATCTGGTATCCTCTTCTGGCATGTAGGCAGAACAGTGTATATGTAATAAATAAATAAATCTTTAAAAAAAAGAAAGAAACTGGAATGTATATGGCTATTATTAGCCAACCTTAAAACATATTATGAAGTTACAACAATTAAAACCACTCAGTAATGGAAAGTAAGCGCATTAAGAACATAATCATATATCCAGAAGCAGACTGGAATACACAGTAACTCATGAGAAAGCTAACATTGCATAGCATAGAAAAAAGTGATCATTAAGTAATATTTGCACCATTGGCTAACTTGCCTGATCTCTGTCTAATTTTTATCTCCAAATATACTCCTGAGAACCACACATTTACAAACTGAAAGAGACTCTTAGATAACTTTCAGCTAATTTTGTTTATATCTTTGGAATAGAAAGTTGTTTTCCCTGAGTAGGACATAAGGCCTAAAAATTTAAAAGGCAAATAATTTCTATACTTATTTAAAATAAGGCTCGGTTGCATGAAAACAAATCACAAAGTGAAAAGAAAAAACCCAATAAGCGCATCATGCAGGAAACATAACACCAGGCAAAGGTCTAACTTGCAAAACACTTCAACAGATCGGGTCCCAAAGAGGGACAAAGGACAGAGAACTGAAATACAGAAAAGTAAATACAAATGGAGAAAAAAAAAAACACAGGGAAAGAGGTTTAAACTCAGAATTAGAAATTCACGTCTTGGGGCTGGAGAGAAGCCTCAGTTGTTAAGTATGTAAGTATGAACAGCTGAGTAGGAACCCCCAGTAACCACACAGCAGCCAGACATGGGGGTGCATGTCTGTAATCTAACAACACTGGGGGGTGGGCGCAGCCAGACATGGGGGTGCATTCTGTAATCTAACACTGGGGAGTGGGTGTGGACAGGGGTTCTGTAGAGTTCGCTGACCACTAGGCTAGCTGAAGCAGTGAACTTGTGGTTCAGTGAGAGACCCTGTCTCAAAATATATGATGAGGAGTGTGTGCGGAAGACGTGCCGTTGCCCCTACTCGCACAAACACGGCACACACATTTACACCATAGCCACCCTCCACACATCTAAGCCACATGCTTCTCCCTGCCTAGCACAGTGGGTGTTGCAGTTTCTTTTTTTCTGTGCTGGTTCTCACACATGCTAATCAAACTCTGTCCTGAGCTGCGCTGACAGCCCAGGGGTAAAACCTGCAGAGCTGCTATCAGCAGAGAAGAGGGGGGGAGGCTCCCCATGCACTCTGCAGGGAGGACTCCTTTGTTTTTAGACAATAATCAGGCAAGTTGTCTGGAACTGTAAGAAGCTCATGCCTTTTAATACAATGTTGCTCCTGCTCAGTGTCTACCTATTGGAGATGACTTCGCATCTTCATCCAGATATATGCAAGGATGTCCACCGAAGTATTCAGCAAACGCCATTCAAAAGCTGGCAGCAACCGGAGTAGCCACCCAGAAGAACATGGCAATGCTGACAAGCCATTAAGTTGAACAGGGCTATAACAAAAACTCCGTACAGAACCCAGTTGCTCTGTGGAGTGAAGCCCAACACATAGGCAGCTAGATGTAGCCCGTGTGCAAGTGTGTGCACAATACACACCACAGAGAGACTTAGATTCCAACTTAGCGTGCTTCTGGAACAGTGTCTAACCTTACGGAATTATAGTATTTATTTACTTCTTTATTCTTCTGAATGTCTACAGAGGCACAGGTGCAGACACAGTGAACAGGGAAACAATGGGCACCCGCTTTCTTCTTAGCATTTAATCTTCTAAAAGAATACAACATTCTGTTTTGAAAAAATATAATGGTTCTACCCCCGCCCCCGTGAAAATGATGAGCATACAGGATCTACATGTATGAAAGTGACATGAAGAAACCCAGCGTTTGTACAACGGACATGGGCTAATAAAAGGAAAAACATCTATCATAAACAGACAAATAAAATCTCATGTGTAGTCTCCCTTCAAATAGCTTTCTTATTACAGAAATTGCTCCAGGAATTCTTTGGCTCTTATCTTTAGTCGGAATGAAAAACAGTTAGTGCCTTTATATTTGCAAGTGTAACAGAAGTTTCTAGCCTACAGCCAGAAACCTAATTCCAAAGGAAATGACAACAAATCACCCCAACTCCCGAAAAGCTTGGATGAAAACGGGTCACTGCCACCCAGAGGCAGGTTCAGGCTTGTTGGCACCTTTTGAGCATGCTCAGTTACAAAAGAAACTCAGAGGGACAGCGCTACCTCCACAGTCCCTTATTCCAACAGCGCCCCCTTCTGGGACTATGATTCCTATCCAGCCGCTTGCTGAGGCTGAGGAGAAAGAGTGATTTACAGAGAAATCACTTTGAAACCCGAGGGAAAAGGGCATTCTCTTCCTAAAGCACAAAACAAAACACATAAAAGCCTAATTTTAAAAAGTAAAGTTGTGCTCTTGCCTTTGATCCCAGCACTCGAGAGGCAGAGAGAAGCAGATCTCTGTGAGTTCAAGGCCAGCTTGGTCTACAGAGAGAGTTCCAGGACATCCAGGGCTACACAGAGAAACCCTGTCTTGTGCGGGGAGGGGGGGCGCACGAGGTATACTGATTATACATTTCACATACAACACTAAGTTTGACAATGACATGTGTAATCCATGACGTCATAGTTCCCGCTATTCAACAATAGCTCCATCGGAACTGCATGGATTTCAAGGTTTATCCTAGATCCAGACAGCCCACATTTGATTGTGTTACCTCACTTTTCTAACAGGCACATATTCCTCTGTATTCCTTAATGCACTAAATCTGTAGCTATAAAGGAAAACAATTTAAGTTTGTATTTTTATTCTTATCCTCAAATCTAGCAGCCAGCGATATAATTCTTCACTGACTTTGACAAAGACTATTTCTGAATTTCAGATGCCATTTCTTCAATGTAACTGGTTCATTTGCATTAAAACGTCTCCTGCTGTTCAGGTGTCTCTGCTAGGACCGGGCCAGCAAGCCTCCAGCCAGTTTCAAACTGTCTGAACAGTTAGACAGCAGCGCCCTCTCGTGGCTCCCAAATAAACCACACGCCTTCTTGACTGGGAAAACCCAGAAAGTGCCCGCAGCCAGCCAGTTTTGAAGTTCTCACTGTGTGCAGATGAATGGAAGTGGGTGGGGTCAGAGAAGCAGGAGCCAGCATTTTGTGTTTCAGTGGACTTTCAAGTTCACTTCAGAACAGAACCATATTCTGAACTGAGACTCCGGAAGGGCTCTGCCACTGCAGAGTGGGCACTTACCTATGAAACCCTGGACAGCCACTCTCAGTGAGCTCAGGCATGTGTCTCAAGCCTTGCCTACTGTTTACCTGGCCGTGCGCTCACACTCCTGGATAAGAACCACTTGCCCAGGAGCAGCAACCTACTGCAAGGACCAACTGCTCACTGGCTTTTCATTTCTTTGACTACATCCTAAGAATCCCCTCTCCAGGGATGGGAATGCCAACGGGAGGCAGAAAATACCTGGATCCTCGCACCAAATCCCACAGGAGAGGGGTCCATACTCACTTCTGGATCGCATGTAGCAGTCAGTACAGTTTAGCAGACCGTTGCGAATCCTAACGTCCGTGCCACTCACTGTGTCTCCAAGCTGTCCTTTACAAATGCCACACTACAGGAGAGAAGGGACAGGAGTTACAGGGTGGCAGGGAGTTGTGTCTGGAACATGCTGGTGAACTGTTTGGAAGGAGTAGGCGGTGAGGCCTTACTGGAGGAGGCGTGTCACTGGAGGTGGGCTTTGAGGTTTCAAAAGCCCACGCCAGGCCCAGTGTCTGACTCTGCCTGCTCCTTGTGGCTCAAGACTCTCAGCTACCGCCCCAGCTCCACGCCTGTCTGCTTCCTGCAATGATGGTCATGGACTCTATTATCCTCTGGAACCATGAGCCCCAGATGAAAGGCTTTCTTTTGTATGAGTAGTCTTGGCCATGGTGTCTCTCCATAGCAACTAAGACACTGCTTATCTTAGCTACACAGGGATACTTCCATGATCTCCATGTACACTGAGCATCTATTATGAGTTAGATATGCCATCACAAGCCAACTTATGGCAAAAAGTAAAATATACGTTGACCATTTTACCTCAACTCCTGTATTTTACAGAGGACACAGGCTGAGAGACGCTAACTGCTGGGAAGCTGGTAAGTGACATTGCAGTGACTTGAGAGACTGCTAACTGTTACAATGCACAATTTCTCAACTGAGATAGAAGGACCATTTCCCACACATCACACCCTACCGGCTTTAAATGAACAGGTAACCACCACTGTCCATTGATGCTTGACTACTAGTTACCTAGGCTTTCCAGCACATGCTACCAGAGAACTACTAAGGAACGCATTCCGTCGTGTATTTCCACATCAGAGGCGTGGTACCCAGGGTGACAGGTCCCTGGGTATGGAACCCCATTAACTGAGTGGTTTGAGAGCAGTAGTGAAGTGTAGGAGGCACCAGAGACAGTGGCACTGGGCTGTCCATCCCTGTGCCAGCCCCTTGCAGAGGGTTCAGACACAACCTCTGATTCATGCTCTAAGACTGGCTGGGTCACATGGGCACAGTCAGCAGATGATGGAAACTGCATTTCACTGCCTTTTGTGATTTGAGGACTTCATTGACTGTTTCTTTTCTGTTTTTGTTTTGTTTTTTGAGACAGGGTTTCTCTGTATTGTTCTGGAGGCTGTCCAGGAACTCTCTTTGTACACCAGGCTGGCCTGGAACTCACAGAGATCCACCTGCCTCTGCCTCCCAAGTGCTGGGATTAAAGGCGTGCGCCACCAACGCCTGGCTTGACTGTTTCTTATACTAGGGACAAAGTGAGTTATTTTAATCCCATATAAGTTGATTGTATAGCCAAGGATGCTACCAACGAGAAAAAGGATGAAATCCAAATAGAAAAAGAAAATGTATTAACATCATGTAGAGAAAACAATGACTCAAATTCAGAGGTAGACGCCTTGGCTTCAAAATCAATTATATTCACTTGAAAGGTGTGAGCAGAAAGAGAGGCTGGGATATGTCGATACAGTAAAATTTATTCATCTGACAGCTGTATGACAGTATATAACAGCCCCTCCCTGCCCTCCCGTGTTGCAGGAGACCTGGTATTAGAAGCTAGGCTCCTCAGTTGTCCATCTACAATATTTATTGATACCTACTCCTTTAGACACAAAGAGAAACAGTGGCGACTGAGGAAGACAGAGTCGTTATTCTTATTCACTGTTGACTGCAGAAGCTGTGACTGACACAGCATACTAATGAGTAATCGGACTAAAAATGGCTACCACCTAGGATTCTTCAGCGAAGGCCACTGGCTGGCTGAGGGGGTGCATGTTAGTAACCTCAGTACTAGGGAGGCTAAGGCAGGGTGAGTGGTCTGAGGCCAGCCTGGGCTACACCGAGAGACTTTGTTTCAAACATAACACAACACAACACACCAAGGAACAACAGCAGGTCAGTGGACTTAATGCAGGCTTCTCAGAGGCAATCACCATCTGAGGCCTGCTGAGACATGCTATGCTGTCTCTGAAAACTGAATCTTATAGCTAGAGCTAGCCACTGTCACTTACTGGGCAGGAAGTATTCCATTAGGGCGACACCTAAAACCCTGTCACATGAGATCATAAGAGTTAAAGAACAGCAAAGATATTTCAAAGAAATCCTTAAGGCCCAGAGACTCAGATGCCCCTCTGTCTCCCAGGGTCTCTTTCCTGACTTCCCTTTGGACTTTCTGCTGTTAGCAACAAAGTGTGGGAAGACAAACGGCACAGATCTATTTTTCTCCTAGAAGGATTTTTCTTTCCAGAGGGTCCGAGAGCTGTATCTTTAGAGTTGAACCCGACCCACACATCTGTCTACACCTGGACCTGATGCATACATGTGTCTACACCTGGACCTGATTCATACATCTGTCTACACCTGGACCTGATGCATACATTCTGTCTCTACTTGGACCTGACCCACAAATCTGTCTACACCTGGACCTGACACACACATCTGTCTATACCTGAACCTGATGCATACATTTGTCTACACCTGAACCTGATGCATACATCTGTATCTACCTGGACATGACCCACATATCTGTGCATCCCTGGACTTGACCCACACATCTGTTCATACCTGGACCTGACACACACATCTGTCTACACCTGAACCTGACACACACATCTGTCTACCCCTGGATATGACCCACATATCTGTCTCTACCTGGACCTGACCCACACATATGTCTACACCTGGACCTGACACATACATCTGTCTCTACCTGAACCTGATCCACACATCTGTCTACACCTGAACCTGATCCACACATCTGTCTACACCTGGACATGACACACACATGTCTCTACCACGTGGGGGAGAGGTTGCAAAGTTACAGGAGAGATTTCTCAGCAGAGGACATGACCTACACCCTGACATCAGCTCAGAGAGGGGAGTGCTGTGTACATACCCTGAAACACTGGATGTGAAAGTAGAGATTTAGGGTCTCGATGATCATTGCAGCTCCTTTACCCAAAGCAAGCCCGCAGGAGGAGCACAGCTTCTTCCCGCTAATAGACCTGGGTCAAAAACAAACAAACAAATAACAATACACAAAAAATTAGTGAGAACCTTGACTCACTCAACAGGCAACCTCATGAAAAGATGGAGACATGGATTTTAAAAAAATGCTTAAACCATGAATAAAATGAGGACGGCAAAGTGACAATGAATTTAGAACTAAGCAAAGCCATACGCTGCCAGCAAGGTGATGAGCTTCCAGGTGGCGCTGCAGCCGATGTGGCTGAGCACTTTGGGGTGACTTACTATATGTATCAAATGTACATAGAGGTCCTAAAAGACACTCGGATTAAGCTTTCTTAAGGTTCCAATGTGGCTTCAGCAGTTTCCGTTGCATTTCCTTTACAAAGAGTCCTTGTGGAGGCCCAAGAGATATAGGGTCCCTACTCCTCCCCGAGTCCAGGGTGTGCCATCAAGGGCTCTCCTTGGGTCTCCCTTCTACCTGCAAAGGGAGAGGGTTGGCCAGCCTATCCCTACTGTGTCTTCCAGAATAAACACAGTCTACAGGAATGGTACTTGCTTTCTGTGTATATTTTAAACCCCTGGGACTGAACCCACCTCCTTCCTCCACCTACAGCTCTGGACACGGTCCACCCACAGGACTGGAGCTAACCTCAGCAGGTCCCATCAGGTGACAGGGCAGGGTCCACTGCCCACCTGCCACCACAGGGCTGTCCTCTTATGGCAGCCTTCCGGATTCACAAGCACACCTTGTCATCTGAAAGCCACAGTGGGACAGAGGGACAGAGGAAACGGAAGAGCAGGCCTCATCAAACCCTATTGATTAAGTTTTCCCTCTACCTAGCCATGAAAAGAAATCCTCTGAAATCAATGAAAACTACTGAGCCCTTAGTTATTTGTGCCTGTGACAGACAGGCACCCGGGCAGCTTTTAAAGACGTCACAGGGACCACCTAAGGTCCAGAACCACCATTAGAGACCTAGGGAGGGATCGAAGAGGATGGACTCTCCGTTTCTCTGGAGGAGCCCATTGTCTTCGGAGGGGTGATCACCTTGGAGGCAGAGGCACTGCTGAAGGAGCCCAGCAACTGTCTGCTGGGCTTTGTTATTAGATTGCATGTCCCACACAATGTCATTAAAACCATCTGACTTTTTCTACACCATGCTGATGAGTCTTGCAGGCAGATGGAGATGTGGATGAGAAGTCTCTCAGCATCACTTGGCAAGCACTAATCTGGCCAGAATTATGCCCATAGGTGCTGGACCACAAACAGTCTCCGGAAGGCTTGCTGACCTCTTATACCTGTTTGGTGACTGGCCAGGAGGGGTAGGAGAACAGGGGGACAGGGGCCCAGCCCAGAAGTTCTCTTGAGGGCTCTTCCTGTAACACGGTAAAGCAGCCCACAGTTATGAAAAGTTAACAGAAGCCGCGATAAAAGACATTTTAGCTTAAAATTAAAACTGAAGGACCACAAAGGAGTCTCCTACTGGCATCATCACGGATTTGTTTTAAGATAGGGCCTCCAGACTGGCCTGGTCTTCCTTCTGGCTCAGTCTCTCAAGTGTGGGGTTAGGAACGTGTGCTACCCATGCCTAGTTTTTGTTTATTTTTGTCTTTTTGGAACAAAATTAGTAATCATGTTTAGAAGGAATGTACACATATGTAAATGAAGATCACACTGACATTGCTGCTTAGAAAGAATACTGGCTGGGTGGTGGTGGTGCACACCTTTAATCCCAGCACTCAGGAGGCAGAGGCAGGAGGATCTCTGTGAGTTCGAGACCAGCCTGGTTTACAAAGAGTTCCAGGACAGTCTCCAACCCTACAGAGAAACCCTGTCTCAAAAATCCAAAAACCAAAACCAAACCAAACCAAACACAAAACAAAAACAAAAAAAGAAAGAAAGAGAGGAGAATACTGGTAAATAATTCTTCTTCATTTTAATTACTGGTCTGTTATTTGCACTGTTGAACAAGCTGTTATTGCATGCTAGTTTGGTGTGGAAACTACCGGCTCAGTGGAATTGAAGATGCACAGGAAGAAATTCTTAAGGGCACCCTAGAAGTTTAGGGAGATTTTTAAAAATTGCTTTATGGCAAAGACCTTGCAAAGGAAAAATATCATGCAGGTAGGGTCGTATGGTCACTCAAGCAAACAGGGCAGAACTTAGAGGAAGTGGTTTTCAGTGCCACGGCTCCTGCCTTAGATGCGTGCAGTGAAGGGTGGCATCGAGGCCGCTTAACACTCATCAGGTCATGAGAAATCAGAAGGGCCCCAAGTTGACGCTGCCGGCATACCACTCGGGTACAGGGGTTGCTAAGGAGCCCTGTGTGGGATCAAGTTTTCCACTCTGAAAACTTGTCTCATGAGTGAAGAACTCGTCAGGACAGAGAAAAGAACAAGGAAAGGGAAACAAGGACACGGAGGCAAAGCCCCTCTTGTCTCCTGGTTGCTTAACTGTGAGATCCCTCGAGGCCCTGCTCACCCTGTCCTCCCCAACTCCGAGGGCATTTGTCTCCTCCAAAAGTCACATTTTTAAAGAGTAAGCACTATGGCTTGAAAAAAAATAGGCTGAAAGTCACCACAGTAACCACTGTGAGTCATTGAATCTAGGTGACGTGAGCTCCTGCTCATCCTGGTGGGTCAGTAGCGTGTTGAGAAGGAAGAGAAGCTAATGGGGTCGGTCACTTGCCAGGCATGGGAATCTGAGCAGGGGACCAGTTGCATTCCCACCTGATGACAAGGAAATGAGGCAGGAAAAAGCTAAGGCTCAAGGTTCTGTGGAGGGACGGGGCAGGCAGACCCTGAGCCCAACAGCCCAGATCCAAGAGGAACGACCGTTAAAGTAACTTCAAAGTATGACGCATATTTTAACTGTGATCATGGTATCACACACGGCTTAACTGAGGTCACGGTGTGACACATGGCTAACTGAGGTCAAGGTGCAGTGCATGGTTTAACTGCAGTCTCTCTGTGAAGCTGAGTCCTAGTAAATTCCTCTAACACTTAACCAGTCAAATTCCAGGGGCAAGATATGCTGTACCTCCCCTGTTGCGAAGGCTCACCGAGAGAAATGGTTTTAAACTATTATACCAGAGTGCTTCTATGTGACTAAATGGAGACAACGCACCAACACCCTGCTGGCATCTTGCCACCTTACACTTCTCCCCCATCCAAGCCAACACATTTTTAAAGGGATCCCACACCCATCTTATTTGTCTACTCACTTTCGCCTTTCACCTGGAGACTCCATCTGATGATTAACGTTTTTATCCAGGGGCAGGGTTTTGGGCTTCACATCTTCCGATGTGTATGCCGATGGGTTTGACACCTGTTGGTTCTGAGGTGGCTCTAAGACCAAGGAGAGAAAATAAATGTGTTCAGCAACAACGCTTTGATCCCCGGGAATACACCATCCTGTAAAGCGCTGATGGCTTCTGGTCCTCACAGCACTTCTATTGGGCTGGATAGCACATATAACCCAATGTGGCTTGACTGAGTCTACCCCCCAAGAGCATTTTTTTGGGGTAGGGTTATGTTCCATGGTAGAACTGGGACATTTGGAGGATGCACTGTTTACGATAACTTAAAGGCTTTATTGTAAAGTCTCCCTTTGATTAAAAAATTATTTTCTGTGCATGTGTGTTTTGCTTGCATGTATGTCTGTGACCCACATGCATGCAGTGCCATGGAGGCCATACAAGGGTATCATATCCTCCTGGATATGGAGTTACAGACAGTTGTGAGCTGTCATATAGGTGCTGGGAATAGAACCCGGGTCCTCTGAGAGGGTAGACACTGCTCTTAACCATTGAGCCATCTCTCCAGCCCCTCCTTTTATATAAAAAATTATTTATTTTGTGTGTGTTTGGGGGGAGTACATGTCACAGGTGTGTGTGTGTGTGTGTGTGTGTGTGTGTGTGTGTGTGTGTGTGTGTGTGTGTGTGCGCGTGCGTGCGTGTGTGAAGGCCAAAGGACAACTTTTGGGAGTTGCCTCTCTCTTTCCACTGAGTCTTCAGGATTAGACTCAGGTCATCAGGTTTAGTGGCAAGAACTTCACTCACTGAGTCACTGAAGGGTTCACAAGCCTCTATTCTGTAAAATGCTAACCCCTGTTCCCGTCTCACCGAGACTCCAATGACCTTGTGTAGAGTCACACCTGGTGACATGGTGTGAGTCTATGTGTTAAATATTTACCAGAAGCTAGGGTAAGGGGCCCTTAGGGAGACATTTGCTGCCAGTACAGGTAAGCTCTGGACAACTTGAGGGTTTACAGAACTTAAACGTTGGGATTTGTCTCCCCATTCTTAACCTGAGCTAGCTATGGGCTTGGATCATAGAGCGAGGCCCCAGCCTCTGCCTCCTGGCTGCTGGTCCCTCCTTACCCTGAGTTAGCTGTGGGCTTGAATCACAGCACGGGGCCCCACACTCTGCCTCTGGATGCTGGTCAGGATGGATTCCTTTTGACATGGAGTCTTCAGAGTGAGTCGAGGGCCCTTGACTTAGGCTGTTAATGCTAAAACAAAGAAACAAACTTGGGAGTAGAGATAACAGCAACAGGATCAAACTGACTATTTCTATACACAGAGCTAGCAATTGCAATCTAAGGAGAGGAAATAGACTGTCTGCTTATTCTTTTTGTTTTAAACTAGATCTAAAACTGTTATAAAATGCATTTTTAGTGGCCACCAATTTAACAGAGTCAAGAGATGATCGTTTCTGAGTCCTCCTTGCCCACCAGGCTCTCTATGCTGAGCGCCTTTAGGGAGTTGACTCAAAGCTCCCAGATTTTCACAAGAGAGCAGTTACTAGAGGTTTCACATGGAAGCCAGGCATGGCAGAACTACAATGAGTTTAAGTTCAGATGGGGCTACACAATGAATTCAAGGCCAGCTTAGGCTTAAAAGTGAAACACAATCTAGAAATGAATGGATAAATAAGTCACTGGGGCCATTTGGGATCTCTGCAGCTTTGGTTAATTCCCCAGCCTTTCAGTGACTTCAGTGTGCAGAGAAATAAAAGATTTAAGGAGATAAAAGAGAAGTTTCTGGTGACAGTGAGACAGCTTGGAGAAAGGAACCAGCAAATTTACAGCAAGGTCTGTTTGGAGAACTTGCAAACACGCACATGGAGTATGTTTTGGGATCCTTCAAATCTTTCTAAGTAATAGCTCTTTTCCCCGACTTTGAAACAGTATTACCTGGAAACAGTTGCCCTTCCAACACCATGCTATCTGTCAGACCCGCTCAGTGTCTGAGAGTCAGGTGCCCAGTGTTTGACATTGCTCCCAGCCAACCTTTCACCTTGACCGGCCTACTACACTTGGATACCCTTCTCATCTTCAGGTCCCTCTAGGATGCTGTAAACGTGTTACCGGTGCATGCGTACTTGCTGATACCTATCTGGGATTTCACACCTCTGAGGTAAGCATCCATTTCTTCAGTAGGATGCTGGCAATTTCCTGGGCTTCTTATAGATTCTTTCCAGGTTAGGCAAGGGTGGCCTTGATAATATGTAGCTCAGAGTCTGGTTCAGTCTGAGGTACTCTGTGTGCTCTGGGGTTTCTGTGTTCATTTTTGGATCTCCCATGGAACAGCATAGAGTCCATACATGAAGTGACTATCAAAAACTGTTCTGACATATTGGTTATCTTTCAGATTATCACTCAGAGTAAACATGTTCACATTAGTGTGGGCACCCAAAGCCAAGTTCAGGTCCATGGTAGGTGGGACCTCAGGACTTCAACGTCATTCCTCTCTGACATATCCTCTACTTTAAGTAACTGAATGCTTTAGGTTTTGGGCCAACAACAAACTTCTTTGTTGATTTACACTATCTTCTTTATTTAAAACAGATCTTCCTTATTACTTTTTTACATTATTATTAAAACATTTAAATTGGATCATGGGCATAGGCGTGTCTATGATGTGTGTGCTCATGCCACACCCTGTGTGTGGAGGGCAGAGGATGACTCTGTGGAGTTGGGTCTTTCCTTCTACTTTATGTGGGGATCAAACTCAGGTTGTAGCCATCTCTCCAGCTCTAAAATGTAATTCATTTTTTTGAGATATGCTTTCTCTATGTACCCAAGACTGGCCTCAAATGTATGATCCTTGTCTCTCCTTCACCACGACTGGCCTCGTTTATTTAAAACTAAGTCTATATATCCAAGATCGCAATGATGCTGACTCCAGAGCTGTTGCAGCATGCTTAAACAACACGGAATGCATCTTTAGGGGATCATTTTAAAGCAGTGAATCTGCCTTCCTGGGAGGGAATGGCAGGGCCCAGCTTCGGGAATGCCTGTGGACAGTCTGGGATGGGCACATACCTATCCTCTTCTGGTGGACCACTTTCTCTGGCCTTGAGCAATGAGTCACTGTCGCTCTCCTGGAAAGGTATCTTCTGTCTTCCCTCTTTTTCCTTGTCTTGACAGTTTTCCAAGTCCATCTTATTCTAGTAGAAAAATTGGGATCATTTTGAATATAATTTTAAAGATATTAGATAACTTTTATATTTGATCATGGACTACCTGAAACCCACCCTCTAATGACTTATATTGACCTTGGACCACCTGAAACCCAATCCATACCTTTTAAAACCTCTCTTTGAATAATGAAAACTTTCTTCTATTTTTTTGCTCTAAAATTTAAAGAAATTATTAATATGTACTTTCTGTACAAGTGAATGACAGTCACTGTAAGACTGAATGCATGTATACAGTGTGCTCTGATTACAGTCATCCTATTTTTCTACCCCTGTACCAATCCTGTTTTGTCAGACCCACTGCCTACGATTCAAAGAATAGTCCTCTTTTAAAATATTTATTTTATACATGTACACATAGAGCCTACATGCCAGAAGAGGAGAGCACCAGATCTCATTACAGATGGTTGTGAGCCACCATGTGGTTGCTGGGAAGTGAACTCAGGACTTCTGGAAGGGTAGCCAGTGTTCTTAACCAATGAGCCATCTTGCCGGGCGTTGGTGGCGCACGCCTTTAATCCCAGCACTCGGGAGGCAGAGGCAGGCGGATCTCTGTGAGTTTGAGGCCAGCCTGGTCTACAAAGTGAGTTCCAGGACAGCTTCCAAAGCCACAGAGAAACCCTGTCTCGAAAAACCAAAAAAAAAAAAAAAAAAAAAAAAAAACCAATAAGCCATCTCTAAAGCCCCAAAGAATAGTCTTCTAAACTAAGAGGTCAATTATTTCCAAATACTTAGAGTCAATGATTTCCAAATACTTAGAATAAATGTGCAATTGAGATCTTTCTAAAAATTATCACAAAAGGTATTAATTGTTCAAGGACTACCCCCCAAACAAAATGAACTCAAAGGACCAATTACTTCAGGACAAATGGCCTCTGGTATCCATGAGTTATTTTACTTTACAAGTCTTGGCATACTTCTATCTAGTATCCCTATCACCTTACTTGGGAGATGTGGGGCTGACCAGCCTTTACAGGCTCTCCCCACCCTCAAATACATGTCAGGTTTGTGAGGAATTTGGAGGACAAGAAGCTAGTTTTATGGCAGCTGGTGGGGAATGTGCTGGGGGCATGTCTGCTGCTGCCAAATACTGCAGAGGAATGCATGACATGGTGGGGAGGGGCACGTGGCTTGAACCAGGCAGAGAGAAGGTTCCAGCATACGGGTTTGCTGCTGGAGATCCTGCTAGCTTGTCTGGGAAGATCTGGCTAAGCCAATGACCACTGCTCTGCAGAAAAAGGGCTTGGAGTTTGGTGACAGCCTTGTAGCTCTGGATAGATAGCCACTTCTGGTTTTAAGTTACTAAGTATGATGGGAAACCTGGTTTGGGTTACTTATGTCAAACTCGGTTTTCATCAGTGATCTTACCGTGGTCCCACTGCCTTCAGTTATAGACGAGGAAGAGGACAGCTGATCTGCAGAACTCGAGGAAAGGGTGAATGGGACCACAGTGTCTTCAATTATCTTACGCTCCTAGGGCAAAGACAGGGATAAATGAACAAAAGAAAAAAAACCTAACCTGTCAAGAGAAAAACAAATACATCAAGGAACTCCAGGAAAAGAAGATTCATCAGAACATATGCAAATAGGCAGGACATTAAGGAAGTCTTATTTTTTTCAGAGCATACAAACACCACCAAGGTTAGTTAGTGTTACACAAGAACACAGTTAAGAAAGACCACTGTGGAGCTGATCAGTTAAGATACTGTTGAAGGTAAAATTCCCAATGATACTGACAACACATTTTAAATAACACTTAGATAGCTTCCTCCAAATTCTGTGATGTGGTTTGTTCGTTGCTGTTGTTAAAATATTACCAGGACATTAGTCTCCTCTACAGATTCCTCTAGCATGGTGTAGTAAATGTAAGGATATATTTAGCTTCAGTGCTAAAATTATCCTATAAAAAGAATTCATTACTATCAAACAATCTTGCTGCAAGTGAGCACACACACAAATAAACACATTGCTGCTTTTATGTTGTCTAAGTCAGATCTCAATCAGACACTGACTGGAGAGCAGATGTGATTACAGTGGCTTCTTGAACATGGTTCACACGGGGTGGGGTGGGGGGAGGTTACTATGGTCTGTTAGAACTCACATGATGTGGTTCTCTTTAAAGAGACTGAAGGGACACTGCCGTGAGTACACATCCACAACCAGCATATGCTGCAGACACATCCACAACCAGCATATGCTGCAGACACAACGGGAAGTGACAGACTTTGAGGAACTGCGCTAACAAAGTCACGTTCTTCTTGGCAATTTCCTACCTCCTCGTAGTACCTGCGTTCTTCTTCTTCTACCTCCTTCTGCGCCTTTTCCCACTCTTCCTTCAACTTATCTTGTGCCTTCTGGTACCTCTCCTGTCATGGGATGTCCAAAGAACACTTGAAAGTGATCACTGCACTCATCACTGGGATGCTTACCCCTCCCTTCTAAAGCACCACGCAAAATACATTTTCGTGAGTGAACATTTGGAATCTAATGCATATGTATCATAGAAAGAAATGTTGGGTATTATGCACACAGGTTAGGTACATGTGGTTTGAATGAGTAATGTCTCCCGTTGGCTCATGTATTTGGATGTTTGGTTCCAGTTAGAGGAACTGTTTTGGGAAGGATTGGGACTTTCAGGATGTGGAGCTTTGCTAGAGGAAGTCACTGGGGCTGCGCTCTGAGATTTTATAGCCCAATCCCTCTTCCTCTTCTCTCTCTGTCTCCTGTGTGTGAATGCAACGTGACCACTTTGCTTCTTGGCTGCCAGGCAGGCCTCCAGCTCCTGACACCACGCCTTCCCCACCACGAAGGACTGTAGCCCTCTGGAACGGTAAGCCAAAATAGACCTTTCTCCCCTAGTTGCTTTTTATCAGGGTATTTTTCTATCACAGAAACAGAAAAGTAACTTAGACATTTAAAATCCCATGGGAAGCCAGATTTCTGCTGTTGTGTTTTGTAGAGTTTCTCTTCAGATTAACATTTGTTCATGAAAGATGAAAAAAACAAACGACCCCTCACTCCAGAATACTGTAATGATTCAGAATGGGAATTTGGAGGTTCTTATTATCATTTAAGTAATCAAGGCCTAACCCTTTGAAGTTTTAAAAGGTACCAAAGGTACCAAGCTGAACTGCAGGGCTAAATCGAAATAGTTGATTTTTTTTTTTTTTTACCACAGAAACCACTCCCTCATTCATGGGAACCAGGGCAAAGGATTAGGACAAAATATGAAGAGAAAGTAGAATAAATCACATTGCACTTCAGTTCTAGAGTAGCAGGGAACCAGCAAACTTAGCTAGGTTTATACTTTATGTAAGTGTTTGGTGTGTAGTGGAATCAGCACACATTTTAGAGTTGCAGAGACTTAGATTTGGGTCCAGGACCTGCACCTTCACCTCTTCAACTAAACATGGGCTACTCAGATGTGTTCTCAGCACATCCCAAGTATACAAATAGGCCAGTCTTGAAGGTCATTTTGGGCATGAGGCATATGGGAGCATGCTACATTTCTTCTCAGAATATTTCTAGAATTGGCCATTATCAGCTTTCACTGAAAAAAAAAATGGAGCGAAAACTCTGTTGAAGGAATTAGACTGATGCCAAATTTCATTCTACCTGAATGTTATCAAATAGCTTTTGGGTAATTCACTCTCATTGCTTCTTGAACTGGAATCGGTGAATGTTATCAAATAGCTTTTGGGTAATTCATTCTCATTGCTTCTTGAACCTGGAATCGTTGGCTAGGGAGGTAACGAATACAGGTAGACTGACAAATCACTGCTTAGAGATATATATTTTTTAAAGTATTAATGTGAATGTTTTCCCCCCACTGCTTCTTGTCACTGAACCTGTTAGCAGGAACAATCAGGTCCAAGACTCTGCTGCCTGGACACAAAGCATGGACAGTCTCCTGAGTTCCCTGTGCTAAAAATCTATCCAGCACAACAGATACAACGAGGGCACAGTTACTGAACACAGGAAAATTAGTAGGTTGTTCCTACCTGGAGCAGACGCTCTTGCTCCTGCTGCCATTTCTCCTGTCGCCTGCGTTCCTCTTCCGGGTCCCATGCCCAGAACTTAAACTGCTCAGGAAAAACAAAGAAAGCAACCCCAAGATGAGATCTAAGACAGGTCCTCAAGGGCTGGCCAGGGTAAGAGAAGACAACTAGCCTCCAACATGATATCCAAGGGACATAGAAACAAATCTTCATAAATCGAAATGTCCTGTTTGGTGGCAGAAATTGTTTCCAAATTTAATCCCTTTTTACTTTGATTCTAAAATGCAGGGCTAGTTCTATGCCTCTTACAGATAATGGAAACACATAGTGACCACTACAGGAACAAGAAGACTTTGGTCCATTTCTCTCAGATGCATGAGAAGTCTTAGAAGCAATCTTGCTCCGGAACACAAAGCTCACTGCACATGTTACTTCTGGTGCATGTCAGGAGAAATGCATCGTCTAAGGACCACTGTACTGGGAATGCTGCTATTGCTTCCCATGGCAGCTTTCTCCATGTGGGTTAATGCCACCTTAAGGGTAAGATGAGTGGAGCCCCAGCCCCGAGGCCAGCATAATAAATACTCAAACCCAAGACTGAGAACAAACAAAATCCTTAGAGAAGGTTTTAATAAGTTTGGGAACAAACAAGAACACAGCTGGATTTTCTTTCTGAATCCATGGATTCTCTCACTTGTTCTACTTTCCCCAAACAGGAAATGACACTACATCTTTTTGCAATGCCTTTTCCTCTCCATCCCCACCCATGCACACGAATAGTTTGACAGTCTTGCTGTAAGTCAATGGCTTGCACTATCCTCTTCAGTTGTATGTGGTGATGCTGGCTTTACAGCCGTTCTGGGGTACTTAGTTTCCAGGAAACTTGGGGTTACCAGTATTGGCTTATGATTGAACTTTCACATATGGTTCTGAAATGGGGTTGGAGATATCAAGGTTATGTGACAAGGGGTCACATGGCCACAAAGGGAGAAAATCTGCCTGTAGATACTGGCTGTGAGAAGCATCCTGGACTGGTTACTGGAGAGGTGTGTAGGGGATCATTCCTGTATCAGGCACCATATAGTAGCAATTGTACAATGATTTCAAGCAAGGCTTACAATAACCCCAACAGAAAGCTATCTGTATCTCACTGTATACCCAGGGAAGATTAAATAGGGAGGACTTATTAACTACCCCCAGTGTCCTATAGCCATTAAGTAAACTTGGACTCAAGGATACAAAGAAATGAGAGTTTTGTTTCCAGGCAGGACAGGATAACTACTTCACAAAGTGATAATCTACACCTTTACAGCCTACCAGGAAGCATCAAATTGTTGTTTCAAAATAAAAATGTTTGGATCTCAGTTCTGGCTGAAAACTCTTTAAGAAAATCAAATACAAGTTTAAAAATCACCGGAGAGGCATGATTTTGTTCTTTGAGAGGGGCTACTTACAGGTGTAGTGACAGGGGACTTCTCACTGCTTGAAGAATCCGCTACACAGAATAAAGACAGAGAAGAAGACGTCAGTGTGAGTGGCTGCGCTGGTCTTCTGATCCTCTCAGTTGAGTGTGGTTCCTATGTTAACTTCGGCAGCATTAGAAAATCACAATAGAGCAGAGCCTTGTGGCAGGCTGTACCCGTCACCAAAAGGAATGAGGAGTGAAATATCAAGCAGCGCCAGGGACTAGACTCTAGGAAGCAACGGCTATAACTATTAGTGCTGGCTCTTAGTACCCCTTGCATCCCCGCAAAGGGAGCAGGTCCCCCACTGTCCGACATGGAGAAGTACCACACAGAGAGGCCGATGTCATCCAGGAAGAACAGAGAGTGACACAGTTAACAAGAGAATACCGCACTTGTGGCAAATGCTTCTAACCTTTGTTCCAAAGGGGAAAGAGGGTGGCAAAGAGCCAGGTAGATGGTGTCATTTCTCCGGCATCTCAACAATCAACACGAAGTTCTGTGAAATCCCTCCCAATTTTAGCACAACTGTGCTGACTGATATACCAAAGAACAAGCTCATTGCTAACTGTGTGTCACAAACAAGCATCTTTCTTTTAAATATCTTAAATCAGAAATGAAGACAAACAACAGACACCATTGGTTGCCCCAACACAGAATTTTACATAGAAGAAATGCAGCTACCCAGTATGTTGTTTACCTGACTGGGAGAAAAACTGGGACCGTCGCCAAGAGTTCTGAACTCTTAGCGGAGCACTGGCACTGCTAGGCACCTCTAGATCAGATGGCAAAATAGAATAAACAGAGATCCATGAAACCAGGTGAGAACCGAGAACACATCCCCACATGCTGAAGCAGGCTCGGCTGCAGTCAAGTCAGGAATTTAAGGACTCCCAGGCTAAGGTAACGCAGCTCACCAGAATACGTGTAAACCTGACAGTGGGCAGTAGAACCGGACAGTCTGTGTTCCTGTTGTATAAGTGCTGAGTGAAAGTTCGTAGGCCCTTCCTACGTGGGGATATTGTTTAAGGGTTAAAGGTCATCACGACACAGCAGTATGCTGTGCAGAAGCAACTCTAGGAAAGTGTAAAGGGCAGTAGAGATGTGCGGTGAGGTCGAGAATGATATCACATCCCAGCTGATGATGGAGTGAAGACGCAGCCAGCTTCCTGTCTCACATACAGACAGGTACATGTTTGTGACAGCCTGCAGTGCCCCGCCCGAGCACACATGGCTCCTGGCAAGCACTGGGCACCTTACGCAGTGGGCTCTGCTACTTGCATTTTCAGAGCCTTGAAGGTTAGAGCCTATGTTTTCTAGAAACATAACTTTGGCATAACTTTGCTGTTTCCAGAGAGCTGGATAAAGGGAATCTGTCAGCCTTAGCTGCATTTTATGAATATTTCCAGAGTGTTGAAAGGCTGTATTGATGCACGTGTGTGTGCCTGAGGAATCTTATTTGGGTTGACAGGCAGATCTACAGTGGCCTGTGTGAGCATCTATAAATAGGTGGCTTTAAAGAAATTGGGGAGACACCAATTTCTGATGGAGAGAGAGAATTTATGAGGTGTTGTTCCAGGGCTTCTGGTTCCTTTGGACTGGATTCTGGAATTCACGTTAGCCGCTTAAGTGTGCACCAAATTCTTATATGTGGGTTATAACCCACCACACTCCGATCCAAGACAGTCATGTCTTCAAAGGTTCCATTTATTAGAGGCCTCTGGCTTCCACAAAGACGGGCACTCTGCAGAGTCTAAAGAAGCCCCAGTTTCCTACCCACCAGTAATGTCTTTGAGGCACCGCTTAAATAAATACCACAAGGCAGTCGCTTCAGGTTGGGCTCCCTGGGCTGCCACATCACCTGCTCATGTGGTTTTGCTGGAAGTGCAGACAGACCGCGCCTTTGGGCAGAGCTGCAGAAGCAGATCCTGAGGGTCTGGCCCCAGCGCTGAAGGTTCAGGAACACTTTCATGTTTGAGAACTGTTGCGTCAAGCTGTGTTGCTGTCCTGTCGATGCTTTCTTTTTTTGTTTTTTCATTTTTTTAGGAAAGCATCCTAGAAGAGTTTACTATTTCTGCCTAGCACTTGGCTCTATACTTACACCCTTATTGCTATTTTTCTGTAATCACTAAATACAATTCTCTTAAAAACTGGTCTATGGGTATTTCTACTCAACAGGTGGCAGTTAGTCAGACCTTAGGGAAACCAAAAAGGGGAAAACTATGCAGCTAAGAACTCGATGAGCGAGGATTTAAACCCTGGTGTTCTATCTCCAACGCTAACAATTAAAATCACAAATTCATGAACCACACATCATAAAGGAACAAGGGCCTGCCAAATCTGGTTCTCACTTGAGGAGTTACCTTTAAAATACTCCAGTGCTATGAATTTTTATTTTTTAAATTATTCTACTTAGATAAAGCATGAAGTAAAGTTCCCTAATTCAATAGCAGTTTCTCAATGGGGGATGAAAATATAAATATATGAGGTATTAGGACTAATTGATAAGGCTTACATATTTATCCTATCTATATTTCTTATTTACATAGTTATAAAGCACTAGAAATGGAACATAATTACAATGTCTAAATATGGCCAACTGGTTGACCCAGCTATGAGATTTTATTTTTATTGATTATTTTCAGGACCATAAGACTGAAAAATTTGGGTCAACTGCTTTGGAGGCACTGAATTTGCCCCTACCTTAAGAGACTGATGCCCATTAGTATTCGTATCACACAGCTTCCTACCAAGTGCTCCTTGTTTTGTATACAACCCCAAAAATCACCAACAAAAGTTAATGGAGACCAATTCGGAGAGTGTTAATGGTGACTCCAAATAGCTTCCCACTCTTTAAAAGAGAAATAATAATAAACCATGAATAATGAAGTCACAGCATCCCTCTGGTAGGTCAGAGCTATAAAACACCCTGGAGAAAAATGTCAACAAAGAAGCACATGGAGCGTTAGGATTCCATCTCCCACGCTAGCTGTTTCCAATCTAGGGAGTTTGCACTGGTCCAGCCTTAGTCTGTTCACTTGGAGGGATAATCCCTAAGGACGGCAGCTTTCTTGGAATGTCATCTTCTCCAGCTCACATCCCTAAGGTCCTTCACGGTGGTGTGAGCACTTGGGTTTCCCATGGGGATAAAGGACATAAAGTTGGGTTCTTAAAGAATAAAAGGGTGAGTTCATAACTCATACATGATCCCCTAAGTGGGAGCCAGCACATTTTTAAGACTTCCACATATCCTCAACTCCCCTATTTCTTGATGCTACTCCTCCCTACATATCAAACATTAAAATCTAGCAAATATACAAAACACATTAAATTGCATCCCAAAGTATGTTATGAGTTAAACATATTAATATATATCCTTAGTGTGTATGTGTGACTGCAATCATACTGAACATGTATCTTTAAATGTTTCATGTATTTTACTGTCCATTTTTGGAAATATTAAATGTTCTTATTATGAAGAATTATATTTGTTTGTTTTTCCAAGACAGGGTTTCTCTGTGTTTGCCCAGACTGTGCTGGAACTTGCTCTGTAGACCAGGCTAGCCTGCCTCTGCCTCCTGAGTGTTAGAATTAGAGGCTGGGATAACAGGTATACACCAGCACCTCCCAGCCATGAAGAATTTTTGAAAGAGTAAAATTTTGTCTGAGTAACTACACTAATCATTGCATATACCCAAGGTTGATATTAGATAAAATGGGTATTTTTATAAAGACTGGAATTAATAATAAAGTTTATATAACATTAAAAGATAAACTTCTTGAAAATTATTTATAATTATCTTGTTATGTTTTAGAGTCTGAAGGTCTTGTACCCACAATGCCTAGCTGACAAGGTGATCTTAGTGGCTGGGGTTCCTGCTGTCACACAGAAAATGCATCTCGGCTTCTCAATTCACAGACTCTGATGAAGAATATAGCTATAAAAACATCACATAGAGGATGCAACCGGCTTTTCATGTGAAGAGTATTTCCTATAGGTGGGCCCAGCAGACTATGAAGATCTAAGAGAACACTTTCCCCTCTCCACTCCTTACCTTGTGAGTTGAGGTTTGGCAAATGCAGTTGGTTGGTTTCAGGCATTTTGTCCAGAAATGGAAACGTCAAGGTTGCTTCTGGTTCTGGGGATTTTGGTTTTACCACCTGGGCCACATCAACAGACACAAACGTTAGAAAGACCACAGATCCATCTTATACTATGACTATTTAAATAAGCCAGTAAGCTTAAACATTCAACTTTGCCATACAATTTTTCCTTCCCTGATGACTTCACATTTTTCTGAATCACTAGAGCAGTTGGCTTTTCTTAGAAATTAAATAAAGAAAAAAAAAGTGGTGATCACCTTTCTTCAACCTCAGAAGACATTTGGAGCTTTCCCCCTCCCCAACTTGCTTTTTTTTGGACAGAGTCTTACTATGTGGCCCTGGCTGTAACTTTCTCTGTAATTCAGGCTAGCCTTCAACTATCTACGTAGCTCTGCCTCCTGCGTACTGGGATTAAAGGCACGCATCACCACTCTAGGCTTCAATTCTAGGCATTACATCCTGCTAAGCTTGTCAGAAAATGAAATATTCCACAGAAGACAATGAGAACCATCTTTGCTGTAAGGTTAAGTATTATAGTAATCCACTTTTAATAGACACTGTTATGATGATAGTATTTTACCCTCCTATAAAGTTATGAAACATACACACACTTTGCCAGTTGACAAAGACACATTGCCCAAAAGAGCTAGTATCGAACTGTGCCAGCACAAGGGTGTCCTTAGAGCTTGTGAAGCACATTAGATGACCTGATTTTTTTCATATCATTGCTATTTAATTTTATTGCTTCTTCTTACTCTAAAGACCCTTAGTAGAGGCATCCTCTTGCTGTCTTATTGCCTCCAATCAATTTACTGCTAGAGACAGACTGCCAAACATTTCAACAGTGTCTAAGATAAGAGGCATGCACTTTCTGAATCTGAATGTAGAGTGCAGCTGTATGGGTTTAGGTCCTTTCTGCCTCTCACAGGACTTCATTCTGATTTCATCTCTAGCTGGTAGCTGCTATACATGGTTAGTGTGACAGCCAATGACCTCAGGCTATGCAACCTTCATTTCTTTTCTGTTGCGTTTTATTTTCTTTGTTCAGAATGCATCCAATCCTAAGAGAATTTTGAAGAAAATACAATCAGTCATGTTGGTAGCACTGCTGTGATCAACCAGATAGCTGTACAGACTTCAGCATTCAACATATTGCAAATACTTAAGGTCTAGATTTACCAAAGTTTACAACATGATAGTCTTTTACTTTCCTAAATATTTATTTTTACTCTCTCTCTCTCTCTCTCTCTCTCTCTCTCTCTCTCTCTCTCTCTCTCTCTCTCTCTCTCTCTCTCTCTGTGTGTGTGTGTGAGTGCAACAGGTATCCACAAAGGCGGGAAGTATTGGGTCTCATTAGAGATGGAGTTACGGTTGGCTGTGATCCACCTGATGTGGGTGCTGGGAACTGAGCTTAGTGCTCTTAACCACTGAGCCACCCTCCAGTCTTAAGCTCACAGACACTAATTCCTGAGTGGTGTAGACGAACAAGGAGGTTCCGAGAAGAACTGGTTGCAAATGAAAGAGTTAAAGACAGCAGACATGTCAGTCTGGTGCGTTGCTTTTACAAAGGTGACATTCTCCAAGTGAAATCAGAAAATCAAAGCTGATGCAAACACGTGATCACCATTATCTAAGCCCAAGAGAGAGAGGGGAGGGGGCCACAGAGTGGGGAAAGTGCTGCCCTGGAGGTCATTTATTCCATTTGCTAACCAACCATCAGAGCTTCTAAACAGCACAGAATTTTAGAGGTGTGGACATAGCATTTGATACCAAGGATAGCCTGGGAATCCTGGATATTTTATGCTTTAAAAATATGATTCTGAGACTCATGTTTACTAAATAGACAAAAGGTTCATGACAGAAAAGCAAATAAGACAGATAAATACCCCAAGAACCCCTGAAAGTGTGTTTCTTGTTTTTGTTTTTGTATTTTTTTGCTTTTTGTTTTAACCATAGTGATTGGGCATGAAACTGGCAGAGCAATGATACGCTCGACACAGGTGAGCATTGTCAAGGAACACACTAAGTTATGGCAGTCATTTGTTTTGTTAGCCCTAAGTACCAGGAATGTAACAAATTTTTCCTTTCAGGTTAGCATGATGTGAAGTATTGAGTTTGGAATAAATAATGATTACAAGCACATGGAAGATAAGGTACAATTGGCAAAGATGAAATCCTTGATTGGCCCACTCTACTGTGAGACCTGTGATTCAGATATCCTCTGAGGACCTCCAGACAGCTCAGTAATTCTCTCTGTATAAAAATGGGGAACAGCTGAGGTCAGAAATATAATACATCAGAATATAGGCATTTTAGAGGCTGTCCAAGCACATTCACTCAGCTGGGTGAGGCTAGGTGCTGTGTCTTGTTCCCTATCAAATACACAGTATCTAATACGGTACTTGGTACATAGTAGGTGCACAGTTAATGTCCCTGATGTATGAAATGGAACCAAGTGGTAAATTTTTCACTTGAAGGTCAAGTCTGTGTACAGGTTGATTTTTAATGGTGGATTACTGCCTTAAATAATTATATGACCTTACAAGGCATGACCTCTGGTGGTCACGTGGACTCCCTAGGAGCTTTTTCAGAACCAGGGCCATGGTTCCAGAGAGTGTCTATTTGGTCTGGAATGCAGTCCATAGTTGTAAAATTCTTTACAAACCAACAACTGAGACAAATGGTGAAGAGATTTTAGATCTGGTATTTAAAAACAAACCCAACTAATATAAGTAAGGCTAAATATGAACATTTAGTAAGAGCAAGGCTTTAAAGCCCATGGTATCCTGAGTTTCTTGGTATTCAAATCCAGAGGTATCAGACACACCATTGCTAAGAAATAGGTAGATAGCGGGAAGAGAATTTTTTTTTTTTGGTTTTACGAGACAGGGTTTCTCTGTATTGTTTTGGAGGCTGTTGGTCCAGCCCAGCCTCGAACTCACAGAGATCCGCCTGCCTCTGCCTCCCGAGTGCTGGGATTAAAGGCGTGTGCCACCACCGCCCAGCGGGAAGAGAATATTTAGTAAGACATCACACTAAGAAACAAACCAGTGGGCTGGAAGAGATAGCTCAGAAGTTAAGAGCACAGGCTGCTCTTCCAGAGGTCCTGAGTTCAATTCCCAGCAACCACATGGTGGCTCACAACCATCTATAATGATATTTAGTGCCCTCTTCTGGCCTGCAGGCATATATTCCTCTGAAAGTGTAAGCAAGCCCCCAATTAAATGCTTTATTTTATAAATTGCCTTGGTCATGGTATCTCCTTACAACTTGTATGTGTGTGTGTGTGTGTGTAAATGTATGAGTGAATGCATGATGTTTAACAATGAACATGCAGTGTAGCTTTTAGAAATATAGTTTGAAGACAGGGAAACAGGTCAGGTGAGACCACCCGCCCTCATGACTGCGGGCCGCCCAGGAACCACGTTAACCTGTGAATTTAACTCCACCGTGTGCTCACCTTCTGGGACAGCACTAACTCTACCTTCCCGCTCATCTCATTTTCGGGCTTCTTCTGGTCTCGCTCTTCTGGCACCTCATCCTTCAGCTGTGGGCTGGAGGAAAACTCCATCAAGGCCACGGTCGGGCTGCATCGAGTCACAGTTGTTGTAAAATGCTGTGGCTCTGGAGGGACGTCACGGGTGGACACGGGAGAAAAGGGAAACCATACAAAGGATCACTTTCCTTCAAAGTAGCAATGAAGATTTCACCAGAGTCCTCCCTCCTGATGACAAGCTGGGTCACCACATGACCACAGTCAGCAAAGGGCCCAGGGTGGCAGGATCCCCCTCAAACTGCCCTACTATTGAAAACTGCTCTTAACAGTCACGGGTCACATCCGAGTACCACGTGACACAAAATATTTAATGACAGTGGGGTGCAAAACAGAACATCCACAGACCCTACTTGTGACTGGGTGACAAACTAACTTTCCCTTGTTCAGTTGTCCTCTCCCGGAGGCTAGAGGCTGACATCACATGCCTTCCTCTCTAGCTCCCACCAGTAAGCAGTGTTTCTCCATGGCCTCGGTGGTTCCTGCCACCATGGTCCTTACTGGAGCTCCCGCCCTGACCCCCTTTGATGGATGGACTGTTACCTGGGAGTTCTAAGATGAAGTAAACACTTGACTCCCCAAGTTGACTACAAAGCAACTAGGACAACTCAGGGTTGGAATCATTTCTGCATGTGAATTAAGTTATTTTTAATGAGCATGAAGACATACTTTTAGGAAATAAAATATCAGAGTGCAAAAACCAAATCAACCCAAAAAACAACAACCCCCCCCCCCGTAAGTCTGAGTTCCTATTTTTATAGTGGCATTAATGCCATAGTGAGAATTTCTCCCGAGAGCCTCTAGGCGGCAGCACAACCACAGAGCCTGACACAGCCCTTCAGTCTAGCAGGGGAAACTGGCCTCATTCTAACACAAGTTACCAAGCTTTACACGCACACTATGAAACAAACCTGCCGAGGCCAACTCCACGTCCTGTGTCCCTGACTTCCCGTCACTGTTGTCATCCTCTTGGCCATTTGACTCAGTTTCATCAGAGGCTGCCTGAAAAAGAATTTGTTTTTCTTCCTTGAATAAACCAAACCCTTGAAAGTTCTGAAAAGCAAAGGCTATTTCCTGAATAATAATTTTCAGGCAAAGAAGGTGGGCTGCCCACACACACTGTCCCCGTTTCCAAGCAACTCTACATTGGGAGTCTACTTTGTTGGAAGGAGGCATTTGTGAGTGTGAACAAGTAAACACCCATGTGCTCACTTTCCCCAACCTTCCTCTGTCTCTCTGTCTCTGTCTCTCTGTCTCTGTCTGTCTGTCTGTCTCTCTCTCTCTCTTACACACACACACACACACACACACACACACACACACACACACACACACACACTTCTTTCCTGTCTCGTAAATCAAAGTCATTATCTACTTGTTCCCGAATGCCTTTCCAGTTGGTTGCAGGTTCTATCGCTAGCAGAGAGGATTTTGTTTTGATTCTTAAAGGATAAAACTTGCAGTTGGCTGTCCTGGGCTCTTAACACTGTAGGTTTTATTCTTGAAGCTCTCGGGAGTTTTTATAGCCATTTCTTCCCTTTCGTTCCGACAGCTGGGAACTAAGGTTAGCTTTTCTTCCTTTAGTCTTTGACTAATGGGTCTCCTTGACATGGATACCATTCACTTGCCACACCACAGTCAAGAACCTCTCTTAGAGCCATGCCTCCCTGCTGTCAGCTGTACGCTTTTTACAACAACAACTGCATAGCAACCTAAATGTTCACCAGATGGGGAACAAACAGTTGAATGAATTACTTAAGACATAAAGGGAAGTACTACACAGTCACCGAATATAAGATGTTGAGCAGGCTGGGGACATTGCTCAGTGGGAGAGGGCTTACCTAGTGCTCATGAGGCCATGGGTATGTTTGGTCCCAAGCGCTGCAGAAGACCAAACACACACACACACACACACACACACACACACACACACACACACACACACACACACAGAGAGAGAGAGAGAGAGAGAGAGAGAGAGAGAGTAGTAATGTGTGAAAATGATTGTTATCCAATGTGGTTAAAATATTTAAAGTTCATATATGGAGAGAGCATTATGTCTACATATGTAAGATTGTACACATAAATGTACCTGCTAGCACATGTATTAAAATATACAATGTAATGTGGCATACACATATATTTCACACACACACGTGTGTGTGTGTGTGTGTGTGTGTGTGTGTGTGTGTGATAAAAGCAAAAGAGGACTAAACTGTAGAGCAGCAGAAGCAGGGAGGAGTGCAGCAGACAGCAATGGGAGAGGACGAATGAGAGCAATGTACAGTGTATGTATAAAAGTGTCATAATGCAGCCGTTATTTCATGCTAACTAAAACAATACAAACAGGAACGCAGAACTCCAGGCAAACAGAAAATGTTAACAGCGCTCATTTTGAAACGTGTTTACATTTAGGGATGACTTCTTTTTCTTTATGTATACTTTCCCATACTGTAAATGCTGAGCCATCAGAAGACAACCCATGTAGTTCATTATCTTCATGGGGCAGGCAGGGGGAGCTAACTCTATAGTTAAGTCTGACATTTTCTCCTTTATCTTAGTTACTTGATAAAACTAAGTGGAAGATTAAACTAAATGTATCTGGAAGAATGCTTGGGCCAAAGAATGTCAGTGACTCTGTTTATTATATTTTTTTAGCAGAAGTTTTATGTAAAAGACTAAAGATGAATTTTAGGGTGTATAAAATATTTTGTAAACTTTAAAACATTTTGAGGCAAAAGCTAATATTGGTTTTCAGAAAAGGCATTATTAAATTCTTCATAATATATCTCCAAGGAGAAAACCAACTCTCTTGAGTTGTCCTCTGATATGCACAGGCACACTATGGCATACTTGTGCCCTCACACAAACATATATACACACATATGTAGATACATAGATACACACAAAATATAAATGTAAATCTTTTTATAAATTAAAAAGGAATTTTTAAATCTTTTTTAATTTAAATTAGAAACAAGCTTGCTTCACAGCAATCCCAACTCCCTTTCCCTCCTTTCCTTGCCTGCCCCCTCGACCCCCCAGCCCCCCACCCAATCTCCACTCCACTCCCAGGCAGGGTGAGGCCCTCCATAGAGAATATCCGTAGTCTGTCATTTCATCCAGGGTAGGGTCTAGGCCCTCCCCCAAGGGTCCAGGCTGAGAGAGCATTCCTCAATGTGGGATGGGCACCCAAAGTCTATTTGTATGCCAGGGATAAATACTGATATACTACCCAAGGCCCCATAGATTGCCTAGACCTCCTCACTGACACCCACATTCAGGGGGTCTGGATCAGTACCATGCTGGACTCTCAGTCATCAGTCCATGAGCTCCCCCTTGTTCAGATCAGCTGCCTCTGTGGGTTTCACCAGCCCAGTCTCGACCCCTTTGGTCATCACTCCTTCCACTATGTCACTGGGTTCCAGGAGTTCAGTTCAGTAAAAAAGAAAGGAATTTTAAAGCAAACCCTTTCAAGCTTCTAAAAGACTTTAACAATAGTATCTAGTGGGAAATGTGATTTTTTTTGGAGGGTAGAGTATTTTGAAACACTCATAATTAGACTTACTTTTTTTTAGTGTTCCTAGCTTTCTCTTACTATTTAAGTCAGGGTCTTTGAAATTTGCCCAGGTTATCCTTGAACTCACTCTGCAATTCCCTTGCCTCATTCTCATAAACAGTTGAAACTTTAAGCTTATGTCTTGAGGCTGACTTTAAAAACCCTAGGCTGGCCAATTGTGGTAGTGTATGCTTGTAATCTCAGCAATTGCAGAGACTGAGGCAAGTTCAAGCCCAGCCTAGACAGACTAGTGAGACCCTATTATAAATAAAACTAAAAAGGTCTGGGGGTTTAGATAAATGGTAGAATGCTCGTATAGCATGAACAAGGCTCTGGGTTTGATTATCAGTAACACACACACACACACCAAAGAAACAAACATTCCCCAAACCCACTGCCAATAAGAAAGATACAGCCAGAATATACCCACATTGATATTATTTAATGGATATTTAATATTTTTAATTGTACCAAGAAGCTTGAATTGAATCCCTTTATGAAATATGAGGAACCAGCAGGATGGTACATGAATGATGAAGGCACATCCTTTAATCCCAGCACTCAGGAGGCAGAAGCAGCCAGTTCTCTGAGTTCAAGGCCAGCATGGTCTAGAAAGTGAGTTCCAGGACAGTCAGGGCCACCCAGGGAAACCCTGTCTCGAAAAACAGCAACAACAAAAAGAAACCAAGAAAGAAATATGATGAATGGAAAACAACCAGACAAAAATCTTTTATTGTACTGAGGTTTTGTGTGTGTGTGTGTGTGTGTGTGTGTGTGTGTGCACACGCATTCACGTTTTTACAGGAGTCATGGAAGACCAACCAGTTCAACACTGTAAAAGAATAAGCTAGGCTTTATCTTTGAAGTTCACTCTTATACAAATAGAAACATTAATTCCGGGTGGTATTTTTGCTTTATGATGTTAATATATAAAATACTGGCAGGACTACTGATTCTTAGCTGCCTTCTCCAAATGGACTAAATTACAGACAGCTATTTAAGGCTGGAAAACAAATTTGCAGCTAAATACTGATGAACAAGCCTCTTGAGAACACTCATGTTTCCAATTACTAGAACAGAGTAACTACAAACAGGGCTCAGAGCCTGAAAATGAACAAAGAGATGAACATATTTCATTCAATCTAAGATGCCATCCAGTGCAAGCTATATTATTTTAGGCACTACTATGAAAGAAAACTCACTGTTAAATATGACACACACTCTGGATTGCCAGAGTAGTCTTGATTTGTAGATGTTAAAACACTCTAAGTGTGCTACGTGGAATTCATGAGATGAGAACATTCCCAAAGTTTGTCTGACATAATGCATGATGCAAACAGGACAAGATCCACCAGCATTAACCACTTCAGCCAGGGTTATGTAACTGGCATATCACGTTCCAGTAATATTTTAGTTATGCATGACTAACAGAGCTCTACCTTTGAGGATTCTCAGATCGCTAAGGTATTTCTATACAGCTCTACATTCGCCCTGAAACGATGGTCAAGAACTTACGTCCTGCTATGCAGTGTGGTTCAACAATGCCTGTAATACAGTTACCATGATCAATATTTACCCCCCATTTAGCAGGTCTCAGTGCTACTGACATGGATGATGCCATTTAACCATAAGGGTGAGCTTAAAGGCAGTATCAACGTGGTTCTACTTACACAGGTTGAAGGTTAAGTGGCTTGTAGAGTACCAGTGCCAGCAGGCAGGAGAGGTGGGAGCCCCGAGCTGTGCCAATAAACCTCCTGGTGCTATCTTCTGGCTCTAAAGTCTGACTTACATTCACTGGTCTGTCAGTGTTTAGTTTTTGATCCATAAGAAGTAACTAAATACTAGGGACTTTTGGGTTCACTGTAGAAACAAATCAAACTGTCATTTCTATTTCTGTTCTTTCTTCTACCTCCGTTCATTATTCAGTAAAAAGGTTAGAACTTTCTGGAACCCTTCAGGGCAGGAGGCAGTTTGGCACTTCTTAGAGAAGCCAAGACCGTAACTGTCCCTGGCTAGCAAGTCATCCCTGGGTTCAAAATGGCAAGGGTGGGCATATAACCCATACCAGGAAAACATATGCTTTCCTAAATAAATGCATTATATATGCAATCCATGCACAAACGCTTAGTTTAAACACATATTATCCACCCAAATCAAGTTACCACTAGCAAAATAGCCAGGGAAAACTGAGAGAAAAAAAATCTGTAACTCAATTTAAAAACTCTATATGAACCAAGAAAAAGAAAAGGCTATTTTTAAGCTTTTTAAGAAAATGAACTTAACAGAGGTAATGTAACAGGCACCTCACATTTTTTTTCTATCTAGTTTTCTGTGCTCTGCAACATACAAAGACTATCTGTAGTGAAGGGAAATTCCCAAAGCTGGTTTAATTAACTCAAGTCTGGCTTCTCCATCCTGAATGCTTGTTGTTTCTGTACTAATG